CATTTGATGGGGAGGTCACATTGAGGAAGATTGAGAAAAGAAGGAAGCATATCAAATTTTTTTGGTTTATGGTCCTCACCAAGACCCACGATACTTTAAAACCGAAGTGGAAATCATGTCAATGCGCGATTCCACATAAGATATTGCAAGATATAGTTAAAAGTGAATATTCTTTTACGCATACATTTTCGCTATTAGTTTAGAGAATAAAAACAAACGTAGGTTGCATTTCCACCAGATGCTGAATAATAAGTAAGGTCGGAGTGTTTTATTGCTCATCCTCACAACTTTGACGCCTGAAATCATGGCATGCAGCATAAAATTCCTTAAATGTAAGGAAACTTTCACGCCTGAGGAATTTTCTATAGTTGTGGAAGAAAAGCGAAACGTAGATTGGTTTTTTCAGACAGAGATGTACCACCGTCCGATGCTGTTCAAAGACTAATTATTTTTGAAACGAATTCATGCTCCGGACTTCCATACACTCGTGTCAGGACTGTACGCATTTTTTAAACGAGGCGTCATGTGATAATGGAAGAAAGTCTTGACAAGAGCATTAATGCATTTTGACGGCTCTCTTGTCATTTTTCGCGCAAAAAACTGATCCGCCTAAAGGGTTATGTACTCTTTTTTGAAATTCTTTCAAGACTTTAAAAAGGAGAATTTGAAAATCCGTAGGAAATTCCGCCCTTAAAAACTGGATTTCTATTGCCTTCGGTTTACGGTTCCTCTTTTCGAGGTTGATTCCAGCATTTTTTTCCAATGAATTTGCCCAAGCTTATTGAACGGTGATGGATATCAAGCGCCTTTTCTGCCTAATACCGATAACGATCCTTTTTATTCAGTTTGAAACCCACTTCAGAGATAAAATCAGCTCGAAATTTTATGCAGGCTTGCCATATTTAGAGACTTTTGGGCTCTCGTCCCGCTGAACTGACAGGTGCCGCTAATTGGATGTCCAGATTGCCCTGTCGATCGTGTCCAACCAGACAGAAGTTTCACAAATCACCCCATTGTGTAGCAACTCGATAGGCCGTATCATGGTCACCATCAGGTGGTTTAGTTGCTATCTTCAGGTAAAAGCAATCAATAGAACATCCGGTCAATAGTTCGACATGAAAGTCCACAGAACGTATCAACTCCGTCAAACATATAAACTATAATGCGCTGGAAATGTTGGCTTAGAAGGATAACTCAGCCACCTTTGAGTATGTTAGCCTGCCTGCAAAATTGAGTGTCAAGTTAAAATATGAAACCGACCCACCCGTTTGTAGTGCCCAAATTAGTTGGATGGAAAAAAGGTATGCCAAAAGACAAGGAATATCTAGTTATGTCAGTCCCCCAGTCGGTTTCCGCCTCTATCAGAGTAAAGTGCATGAGGCACGAGAGAGCCTGCGGTAGATGCTGCGCGAGTTTGCATTTTTATGAACTGATTTCTATTTTTTTGTCGCCGATATGGCGTAAACTATGTAGGACATACGGTGGACGACGTCAATCCCTCCGACCGAAATGGCATCATTCGAATGCTACGCGTACAATCAACAGTCATTTTCGACGGGGTCTTTCGTGTGCTCCACAATAAGGTAATGCAGAGACGGTAAATAGCGCTTAGTTAAAGGGAGGGTGATTGTTGAAGGTCTTACTTACCTACCAGACGTGAGCGCTCGCCAGGATGTCTTACGGGTCAGCCCAGATGAAGTTTAGGGCGCGGGTAAGCTCATATTCCTACCTGTTATGTTTGTTGCAAAAATAGAATGCATGTCAACCATTGATAGAATTATAGGAATGTTTACATACTGCCGACAGACAGGGGACACAAGGATGGCCATTTCTGGCTCACTAGCCGTCGTCAGCTAGTGACACCCAATTGCAGTGTTGCCACTCAAATGTCTGCCACACTCGAGTTTCGAACCCACGACCTTCCTGATCAGAGTCAAACGCCCTAACCGTTGAGCCACGGGAATATACAGTAGTAGATAATCGTAAGCCGGCTCATTTCAGGACGCACCCGTCCTGGTTAATGCTATGTTATTGGTATATTACTAGAATGTACTATCCGCTTGTCTTAGTTATTATGAGAACTACAATTAGCACTCTTAGCAGTGGTATGCTACCTCTAACAACACTTTCCTAGCCCAAACTTAGTAAAATATGTCACAACTCATGGTGAACAGAGGAGAGCGGGCGGAAACCAAGGCAAGCTCTGATGTGCTCCGGGCCTCAACCATGTATTTACT